GTGGTCACGTGCCGGGTACGGGGTGTTCACGTGCCGGGCACGGGGTGTTCATGTGCCGTTCACGGGGTTTACACACGGGTGTTCACCTGCAGGGCACGGGGTGTTCACACGGGGTTTTCATGTGACGAGGACGAGGTGTTTACGTGCCGGGCACGAGGTGTTCACACGGGGCGTTCACGTGCCTGGCACGTGGGGTTCACGTGCCCGGCTCGGGGGGTTCATGTGTCAGGAACGCATTCATACACTTCCATCAACTCCGATCCATATGTAAATCTTAATGAACTAAGAGAATAAAAAATCACATGATTTTCTGTATTTTTGAGCACTATACTGTGATTCTATATGAAGTTGATGAATGTATTTCAGGGGTCAATTCACGTTCATGTGCCGGGCACGGGTTGCTCACGTGCCGGGCACTAGGTGCTCATGTGGCAGGTACGGAGTAGTCACGTGCCAGGCACCGGGTGTTCACATGGTTGTTCACGTGCCGGGGACAGGATGTTTACGTGCCGGGTATGTGATGTTCACGTGCCGGGCATGGTGTGTTCTCTTGCCGGGCATGGGGTGTTCACGTGCCGGACACGGGGTGTTCACGTGCCGGGCACCGGGTTTTCACATGGGTGTTCAAGTGCAGGGAACGAGGTGTTCACACGGGTTGTTCACGTGTCAGGGATGGGGAGTTCACGTGCTGGGCACGAGGTGTTCACACCGGGTGTTCACGTGCCGGGCATGGGGTGTTCACACGGGGTGTTCACGTACGGGGGAGGTGGTGTTCACATGCCTTTCACGGAGTGTTCACACAGGGTGCTCACCTGTCGGGCACTAGGTGCTCTCATGTCGGGCACGGGGTGCTTACGTGCCGTGCACGGTGTGTTCACTTGCCGGGCACGGGGTGTTCACACGGGGTGCTCACGTGCCGTGTACGGGGTGTTCACGTGCCGGGCATCGGGTGTTCACGTGGGGGGCACCGGGTGGTCAATTGCTGGACACCGGGTGTTCCCACGGGTGTTCACATGCCGGGCACGTGGTGTTCACGTACCGGGCACAGTGTGTTCACGTGCCGGGCCCGGGTGTTCACGTGCCGTGCACGGGGTGTTCACACGGGGTGTTCACGTGCCAGGTATGGGGTGTTAATGTGCCGGGCCTGGGATGTTCACACAGGGTGTTCACGTGCGGGGGATGGGGTTATCACGTGCCTTGCACGGAGTCCTCACACAGAGTGTTCACGTGCCGGGCACCGGTGTTCACAGGTGTGTTCACGTGCCGGGCACGGAGTCTTTACGTGCCGGGCAGGGGTGTTTATGTGCCGGTCACGGGGTGCTCTTGTGCCGGGCAAGGGGTGCTTACGTGCCGGGCACGGGGTGCTCTTGTGCCGGGTACGGGTACAGGGAGAACACGTGCCGGGCACCAGGTGCTCATGTGCCGCGCACCGGGTGTTCACACGGATGTCCACGTGCCGGGCGCGGGGTGTTCACACAGGGTGTTCACGTGTCGGGCATGGGGTGGTCATACGGGGTGTTCACTTGCCGGGCACCGGGTGTTCACGTGCCGGGCACCGGGTGTTTACGTGCCGGGCACGGGGTGCTCACACAGGGTGTTCCCGTGACGGGCACGGGGTGCTCACGTGCCGGGCGCGGGGTGTTCACGTGTCGGGCACGGGGTGTTTACACGGGGTGCTCACGTGCCGGGCACAGGGTGCTCACGTGCCGGGCGTGGGGTGTTCACACGGGTGTTCACACAGGGTGTTCACGTGCTGGGCACGGGGTGTTCACACGGGGTGCTCACGTGCCTGGCACGGGGTGCTCACGTGCCGGGCACGGGCTGTTCACGTGCCGTGCACCGGGTGTTCACGTGACAGATACCGGGTGTTCACGTGCCGGCCACCAGGTGTTCACGTGTTGGGCACCGAGTTTTCACACGGGTGTTTACGTGCCAGACACCGGCTGTTCACGTGCCTCGCACCGGGTGTTCACACGGTTGTTCACGTGCCGGGCATGTGGTGTTCACGTGTCGGGCACGGTGTGTTCTCGTGCCGGGCACGGGGTGTTCACGTGCCGGAAATGGTGTGTTCACGTGCCGGGCACCGGGTTTTCACATGGGTGTTCAAGTGCCGGGCACGAGGTGTTCACACGGGTTGTTGACGTGCCAGGGACGGGGTGTCCACGTGCTGGGCACGAGGTGTTCACACCAGGTGTTCACGTGCCGGGCCCCGGGTGTTCACACGGGGTGCTCACGTGCCAGGCACCGGGAGCTCACGTGCCGGGCACCGGGAGCTCACGTGGCGGGCACCGGGTGCTCAGGTGCCGGGCGCGGGGCTCTCACGTGCCGGGCGCGGCCTTCTCACGTGCCGGGCGTGGGGTGCTCACGAGCCAGGCGCGGGGTGCTCACCTGCCGGGCGCGGGGTGTTCACGTGCCGAGCACGGGGTGTTCACACAGGTTGTTCACGTGCCGGGCACGGGATGTTCACATGGGATGTTCCTGTGCCGGGCACGGGGTGTTCAAATGGGGTGTTCCCGTGCCGGGAACGGGGTGTTCACGTGCCGGGCCTGGGGTGTTCACACGGGGTATTCACGTGGGGGGATGGGGTCATCACGTGCCTTGCACGAAGTCTTCTCAAACTGTGTTCACTTGCCGGGCACCGGATGTTCACGTGCTGGGCACCGGGTGATCACGTGCCGGGCCCCGGGTGTTCACACGTGGTGCTCACGTGCCGGGCACTGGGAGCTCACGTGCCGGGCACCGGGAGCTCACGTGGCGGGCACCGGGTGCTCACGTGCCGGGTGCGGGGTTCTCACGTGCCGGGCGCGGGGTGCTCACGTGCCGGGCGTGGGGTGCTCACGAGCCGGGCGCGGGGTGCTCACCTGCCGGGCGCGGGGTGCTCACGTGCCGAGCACGAGGTGTTCACACAGGGTGTTCACGTGCCGGGCACGGGATGTTCACATGGGATGTTCCCGTGCCGGGCACGGGGTGTTCAAACAGGGTGTTCCCGTGCCGGGCCTGGGGTGTTCACATGGGGTATTCACGTGGGGGGATGGGGTCATCACGTACCTTGCACGAAGTCTTCTCACACTGTGTTCACGTGCCGGGCATGGGATGTTCACATGGGATGTTCCCGTGCTGGGGACGGGGTGTTCAAACGGGGTGTTCCCGTGCCGGGCACGGGGTATTACCATGTCGGGTCCGGGGTGCTCACGTGCCAGGCACGGGGTATTCACACGGGCTGTTCACGTGCCGGGCTCGGGGTGTTCATGTGCCGGGCTCAGGGTGTTCACGTGCCGGGCACCATGTGTTCACATGCCGTGTACGCGGTGTTCATGTGCCGGGCACGGGGTGTTCATGTGCCATTCACAGGGTTTACACATGGGTGTTCGCCTGCCGGGCACGGGGTGTTCACACGGGGTTTTCATGTGACGAGGACGGGGTGTTTACATGCCGGGCACGATGTGCTCACACGGGGCGTTCACGTGCCATGTACGGGGTGTTCATGTGCCGGGCACGGGGTGTTCACGTGCCGGGCATGGGGTGTTCACACGGGGTGTTCACGTGCTTGGCACGTGGGGTTCACGTGCCCGGCTCGGGGGGTTCATGTGTCAGGAACGCATTCATACACTTCCATCAACTCCGATCCATATATAAATCTTAATGAACTAAGAGAATAAAAAACCACATGATTTTATGTATTTCTGAGCACTATACCGTGATTCTATATGAAGTTGATGAATGTATTTCAGAGGTCAATTCACGTTCACGGGCTGGGCACCGGTTGCACACGTGCCAGGCACTAGGTGCTCACGTGGCGGGTACGGGGTGTTCACGTGCCGGGCACCGAGTGTTCAGGTGCTGGGCACGGGGTGTTCACGTGCCGGGCACCGGGTATTCATGTTCCGGGCATGCGGTGTTCACGTACCAGGCAACGTGTGGTCACGTGCCGGGTACCGTGTGTTCACGTGCCGGGACGGGATGTTCACGTGCCGGGCACGGGGTGTTCACGTGCCGTTCACGGGGTTTACACACGGGTGTTCACCTGCCGGGCACGGGGTGTTCACACGGGGTTTTCATGTGACGAGGACGGGGTGTTTACGTGCCGGGCACGAGGTGTTCACACGGGGTATTCACGTGCCAGATACGGGGTGTTCATGTGCCGGGAATGGGGTGTTCACACGGGATGTTCACGTGCCGGGCACGGGGTGTTCACACAGAGTGTTCACGTGCCTGGCACGTGAGGTTCATGTACCCGGCTCGGGGGGTTCAAGTGTCAGGAACGCATTCATACACTTCCATCACCTCCGATCCATATATAAATCTTAATGAACTAAGAAAATAAAAAACCACATGATTTTCTGTATTTCTGAGCACTATACTGTGATTCTATATGAAGTTGATTAATGTATTTCAGGGGTCAATTCACGTTCACGTGCCGAGCACGGGTTGCTCACGTGCCGGGCACTGGGCTCTCACGTGCCAGGCACGCGTTGCTCACCTGTCGGGGACTAGGTGCTCGCATGTCGGGCACGGGGTGCTTACGTGCCGTGCACGGGGTGTTCACTTGCCGGGCACCGGGTGTTCACACGGTTGTTCACGTGCCGGGCACAGGGTGTTTACGTGCCGGGCATGTGGTGTTCACGTGCCGGGCACGGTGTGTTCTCGTGCCAGGCACGGGGAGTTCACGTGCCAGATACGGGGTGTTCACGTGCTGGGCACCGGGTTTTCACATGGGTGTTCAAGTGCTGGGCACGAGGTGTTCACACCGGGTGTTCACGTGCCGGGCATGGGGTGTTCACACGGGGTGTTCACGTACGGGGGAGGTGGTGTTCACATGCCTTTCACGGAGTGTTCACACAGGGTGCTCACCTGTCGGGCACTAGGTGCTTTCATGTCGGGCACGGGGTGTTCACGTGCCGGGCATTGGGTGTTCACGTGGCGGGCACCGGGTGGTCAATTGCCGGGCACCGGGTGTTCCCACGGGTGTTCACGTACCGGGCACGGGGTGCTCACGTGCCGGGCATTGGGTGTTCACGTGCCGGGCATTGGGTGTTCACGTGGCGGGCACCGGGTGGTCAATTGCCGGGCACCGGGTGTTCCCACGGGTGCTCACGTGCCGGGCACGGGGTGTTCACACGGGGTGTTCACGAGCCTGGCACGTGGGGTTCACGTGTCAGGAACACATTCATACACTTCCATCAACTCCGATCCATATATAAATCTTAATGAAATAAGAGAATAAAAAACCACATGATTTTCTGTATTTCTGAGCACTATACCGTGATTCTATATGAAGTTGATGAATGTATTTCAGGGGTCAATTCACGTTCACGTGCCGGGCACTAGGTGCTCACGTGGCGGGTACGGGGTAGTCACGTGCCGGGCACTGGGCTCTCACGTGCCAGGCACGCGTTGCTCACCTGTCGGGGACTAGGTGCTCGCATGTCGGGCACGGGGTGCTTACGTGCCGTGCACGGGGTGTTCTAATGGGATGTTCACGTGTTGGGCATGGGATGTTCATGTGCCGGGCACGGGGTGTTCACGTGCCGGGCACGGGGTGTTCACACGGGGTGCTCACGTGTCCAGCACGGGGTGCTCACGTGCCGGGCATGGGCTGTTCACGTGCCGTGCACCGGGTGTTCACGTGACAGACACAGGGTGTTCACGTGCCGGGCACCGCGTGTTCACGTGCAGGCCACCGGGTGTTCACGTGTCGGGCACCGGGTTTTCACACGGGTGTCTACGTGCCGGCCACCGGCTGTTCACGTGCCTCGCACCGGGTGTTCACACGGTTGTTCACGTGCCTGGCACAGGGTGTTTACGTGCCGGGCACGGTGTGTTCTCGTGCCGGGCACGGGTGTTCACGTGCTGAAATGGTGTGTTCACGTGCCGGGCACTGGGTTTTCACACGGGTGTTCAAGTGCCGGACACGAGGTGTTCACACGGGTTGTTCACGTGCCAGGGATGGGGTGTTCACGTGCTGGGCACGAGGTGTTCACACCAGGTGTTCACGTGCCAGGCATGGGGTGTTCACACGGGGTGTTCACGTACAGGGGAGGGGGTGTTCACGTGCCTTTCACTGAGTGTTCACACAGGGTGTTCTCGTGCCGTGCACGGGGTGTTCACGTGCGGTGTACGACGTGTTCAAATGGAGTGTTCACTTGCCGGGCACGGGGTGTTCACGTGCCGGGGACAGGGTGTTCACTTGCCAGGCACCGGGTCTTCATTCGGGGTGCTCACGTACTGGGCACGGGGTGCTCACGTGCCGGGCACCGGGAGCTCACGTGGCGGGCACCGGGTGCTCACGTGCCAGGCGCGGGGTGCTCACGTGCCGGGCGTGGCATTCTCACGTGTCGGACGCGGGGTGCTCACGTGCCGGGCGCGGGGTGATCACGAGCCTGGCACGGTGTGCTCACCTGCCGGGCGCGGGGTGCTCACCTGCTGGGCACGGGGTGCTTACGTGCCGGGTGCGGGGTGTTCACGTGCCGGGCACGGGGTGTTCATACAGGGTGTTCACGTGCCAGGCACGGGAAGTTCAAACGGGGTGTTCCCGTGCCGGGCACGGGGTGTTCACACGGGGTATTCACGTGGGGGGATGGGGTCATCACGTGCCTTGCACCAAGTCTTCTCACACTGTGTTCATGTGCCGGGCACGGGATGTTCACATGGGATGTTCCCGTGCCGGGCACGGGGTGTTCAAACGGGGTGTTCCCGTGCCGGGCACGGGGTATTCCCGTGTCGGGTTTGGGGTGCTCACGTGCCAGGCACGGGGTATTCACACAGGCTGTTCACGTGCCGGGCTCGGGGTGTTCATGTGCCGGTCTCAGGGTGTTCACGTGCCGGGCACGGGGTGTTCACACAGGGTGTTCATGTGCCGGGTGCGGGGTGTTCACGTGCCGGGCACGAGGTGTTCACGTGCTGAGCACGTGGTGTTCACGTGCTGGGCACCGGGTATTCACGTGCAAGACACGGGGTGTTCACGTGCCGGGCACCGGGTTTTTACGTGCTTGGCATCAGGTATTCACACGGTTGTTCACGTGCCGGGCACGGGGTATTCACACGGGGTGCTCAAGTGCCTGGCACGGGGTGATCACATGGGGTGCTCACTTGCCTGGTACGGGGTGCTCACATGCCGGGCACGGGCTGTTCATGTGCCGTGCACCGTGTGTTCATGTGACAGACACCGGGTGTTCACGTGCCGGCCACCGGGTGTTCACGTGTCGGGCACCGGGTTTTCACACGGGTGTTCACGTGCCTGGCACCGGCTGTTCACGTGCCTCGCACCGGGTGTTCACACGGTTGTTCACGTGCCGGGCAGAGGGTGTTTACGTGCCGGGCATGTGGTGTTCACGTGCCAGGCACGGTGTGTTCTCGTGCCGGGCACGGGGTGTTCACGTGCTGAAATGGTGTGTTCACGTGTCGGGCACTGGGTTTTCACATGGGTGTTCAAGTGCCGGGCACGAGGTGTTCACACGGGTTGTTCACGTACCAGGGACGGGTTGTTCACGTGCTGGGCACGAGGTGTTCACACCGGGCGTTCACGTGCCAGGCATGGGGTGTTCACACGGGGTGTTCACGTACGGGGGAGGGGGTGTTCACGTGTCTTTCACGGAGTGTTCACACAGGGTGTTCTCGTGCCGTGCACGGGGTGTTCACGTGCGGTGTACGATGTGT